GTACTCAGGCTTTTCCTGCAGTACCTGGGTTCACATGAAAACTATGCTCTCACCGTTTCAAGGTGCAGGGTTAAGTATATTTCTAGAGACAGACAACACGGATGTCAATACTGCCTAACGGAACCCTGGCCATTATATGGGGCTTTTGAGGTATGCTCAGCTCTGCTGTCTGAATCTATTGTCTCTGAAGATCTATTTCACTGAGGAGCATTAAGCCATCAGTGGCTGTCATGGAGGAAAACCAGAATAATGATCATAAAACCATGTGGCACATGGAATTTATGGATGATGTTGCACTATATTGTGACTGATTTTCTAAATCATTAGATTTTTTTTTTTAATGAATTTCAAATGGACTTGAAAATTTTCAACATGACCTACTGGCATGGGCACCTACAATTTCCCCAATATATGGTCTGATTTTCTTTCTATGCAAGCCATTATATTATATCATATGCTGCTATGATGTGAATTCGTGGACAACATGCACTGCAGACTCAAAACAATGCAAGGCTGGGTAAAACCCAGGAGGAAGAGACAGGTATCCAATGTGCTTTTTAAAAAATGGAATTGTGTGATTCTGGCCCCTTATTCTGCCTTATTTTGTTTACTTCCACACACTTGATCTAGATAAAACACTTCTGAATAATAAGGAGGAAGAACACAAAGTTATCATAATGTGATATGCAAAAAGACTGCAGGGAAAATACCATGCAACAGCATTTCCTCTCTTTTTAAAGATATTTTCTTCATACTGTAAAACATGTTGGAAAGAGGGCTGTAACAAAACATAAACCGGTAGCAGCAACAAACTTTTCTATTTCACCTATATTTTCCAAAAAGTATACATTTAATGTATAATAAATAATTAGGTTAGGACTAAGCTTAGAGACTGTAGCCACCTAACTTTATTCAGGGCATATTTTGGAGCCATGTATATCCCAGGATACAGTCTACAGTGCTACATATATATATATTAGGAGGCAGAAATACATCCATCGCCCCTTAGAATTGTGTTCAAGCAAGGAGTATGTAGCTTCAAACATGACTAGTAACTGTATGCTGTGATTATCTTGATGCAGTAAGCAAATGCTTCAATCAAAAGCTTGTGTGTGCTTTTCTGATAAATACCCTTTCAAACTCTGATGTAAAAGGTCTGCTCAGTGGACATCTAGAATGGATTCTAAACATCCCAATCTGGCACCCATAATGGGGAGAGAAAACCAAAACAGTCTATACTCTCTGCTATTATATATGGTTTTGCAAAAAAAACAAAAAACAAACACCACTACCAGTGCAGACAGAAGGGAACACCTTAGAATGTGCCTGGAGAGATCATTTTATCTGTACAATAAAGATGTAAAAGCAGATGACCACCTTGACATAAGCACTAGCTAAATTAAACAGCACCGAGACCAGTTTCAACAGAGAAGAGCTATCTCAAGTAAATCCCTTTCACAAACAGATGGAAGGCAAACTGGAGTTACATGAACACTAACTTGAACTTCGAGTCATCTAGTCAGAGAGGATGAACCACACTTCGACTTGCAGTTCCCTCAGAGACAACTGTTTGATCCAGCATGATCGTGATCCAATACTGGACAGGTTAGTATTAAATCAATTGTTAGCTATTCCTGATCTGTGCAGACATCTACAGACCAATAGATCTCAGGAGTAAAATCAATCACCCAGGATAGATTTTGGCAGCACAGACTTTTGTTCCCCGTGAAAAGGCTAGTGTCATGGGTGACTAGACAGGAAAGATGGCTGGTGTGATCATGAGTGTTAATGATGTAAATGATCTACAGAAGGTGGATATTTCAGATGACGTTTTAGGTCATTGATTACCCTGATCTATCACAGAACTGGAGAGTAGCAGTTTGACAATGAATACTTTTACATTGCATTTGCAGTTTAATTTATATATGTTAAAAAATATATATAATAAAAAAAGTAGATGAGATAGATGTGGAATATCACACAGCCAAATCTATTGGTTTTAGAAGACAGATGCATATTAAATGTTTAAATTTGTTACTAATGCATATATCATTTTTATAACCCATACGATTTCATTAGAAAAACAAAGAAAATCATCTAGTAATCATTTATGGTCTAGCCAATAATGATAGCTTAAGGCACAGTCACAAAGTGGGAAAGAAAAAAAAAAATGGACAAGTCGGAAGAAACACGATTGGGCTTTATAGTTTAAATCATTCTGTGCATATCAGCGGTATTAACAAACAAGGGAAACAAACAATATCAAACACTATAACCATGTCTACAGTGAACAAGACATTGATTCAATACCTGCAGATTCATCCTTACAGCATGCCCTAATGACACCAGCAAACCTCTCTCTACATTCTGTAACCAGAATACAAGACAGAAAATCCCTGGGGTATGCAACTGTATAAAAATACATTTCTCTTCATATGAGTAGGCTATATGTGAATATATAAAAATATGTAGGTGGAAACCCCCACCAAATACAATTTCCAAAAGAAAAAAAAAAAAGTATTTACACTAGAGTAACCTCTATAAAAGAATCATCACCACTGACAGCGGGAAGGCAACAAGGAGAAGAAAACAAGGTTGTGCCCAACAACACAAGCTGACAAGTCACATTTCATGTGTCAATCATGAACATTCAATGTCAGGAACGCTGTCAAGCTTTTTACTGCACATTACGCAACATACGGTCTACTACACTTAGTGACAGGCTGCAACAGAAATTGAAGTTAAATCTTTATCACAGATTAAGCCAGGAAAAAATGTTCAGCCAGACTTAGACATTCAGTATAGGGCACAGTGCAATTAATGACAGGACCAAGCCATTGTGGGCAATGGTCTTGGATGTGCCACAGAAGATCTCATTATAGGCCTCCACGGAGTGCAGCCATCTGTAGTTGGTGGATGTCTGCATCACCACTGGGTATATTTTGTATGGTGGGAAAAACAGTGGTGTGATGTGTTGTTAGCCATTTTTAATTGGTTGCTGTAGGTTAGTAAACACACCGTTACTATCTGCACTATAACCCAATATGTATTTTGATGCTTAACACTACATTGAGGCCTGGGAGACTCATTTGAAACCAATGTAATTATGATTTTCTGATTTGGAAAGTAGAGATGAATAAGATTTATGTTATATACACATTAGCCATACATTTATTTTAGTTTTGGATCCCTAAGAATAGAAGTATTACTGTTATTTTAGTTTACACACATGGAATCACATGTTACACGCATAAAATAATTGTACTGATCCAACCCTCTGTGGTTTGCAACAGTTCAGACTAGATGCCCAAGAATAAAAATGTCTTGTAATGGCTGTTGATTGATGAGAACCAAAGCAAACAAGAAACCACTGCTTCTGGCCACCAAATAGATTTAAACTTTTGTTCAAAGGGAGAAGGAAACAACTTTTAAAGTGTAGGTTGGGGAAAAATGTAATCTTTTCAGTATCGCTGCAATACATTTTATCCTTTAAAAAACTATGCAGTACTGAAAAATACTTGTTTACTTGCCAGAAATCCAGTATTCTAACTTCTTGTTTGAGCTGACAACACCTCTCCTGCACTAAAACCTCAAAAGGTATCAGCCCTGCTTGAGTTCTCCAACTCTAAACTACAGAACTGCTTCCCTTTTATTACTGAGATGAGAAGGGGTGGTGTATGGTAGTCTAGCAAAGAGAACTGGGCACAGCTGACAAGCCTGCAGTAGAGGCACTATGTTGTCAGTTCAAAGGAAATTAGGAGCACATTGAATTTTTGGAAGTTCAACAGTTTTTTTTTTCTGTACCTGTAGTATTTATAATGGATAAAACCCGGGGAAATGTGCATATACAGGACAGATGTGCTGAGTGTTTTTTTTTTTTTGTCCTAACATACACTAACTACTATGGCCAATAGCTTCACCTTTCCTGCAGTTTTGGTGAAGAAAACTTAAAATATCATACATTTTTCAACTAGCAGCACGAGAAGTGACTAGCTGAACTATCACAGTACTGAAGTGTCAAATATGCAACAGTATGTGATTATACATCACACAGAGAATAATTTTTTGGCCTGAACTCGGCCTATACCATAAGTAAACCCAGACATGCATTTGTGTTTAAAATAAAAACACCATTCTGATGGAGCACAATACTACTCAGATTTCCAGGAATAGTCATTCCTTGCTTAATGGGAATGTGTGGACGAGGATTGTGAGGTCCCGGATGTGAAGCAGGGCAACCAAGAACAAAACAACTACTCAATTTGACAAAATACAACATCAAAAATTCACTGTAAAATGCAACCAGTTCATGTCACAGCAGAGCAAAGTTGTGGTTTAAGTAGCAAGGCTAGGCAGGATGACCACAGCGAGTTTTGGTCTAAGCACTTGTTAAATTAAATTTTTTTGGCATTTGTGTTTACTGTTAAGGTTTCATTTTAATATTCTCTCTATATAGTTTTTTGTTAAAAATGTATTGCATTGATAAGAAGTATCAAGGCTCAACAGCTACAGGTGTACCTTAATGTTTTTTTTCTCCATTGTTTCTGAAAATGTAAGAAAAATAGAAAATATTTAATATATATATTTTATATTATAAAACAAAAAAAAGGAAAGAAGGAAGAATAGATCCGTTCTGGCATAACTTCTTTACAACAATCTTAACAGACCAAGGCTTTCCAATAGCTGGCTGGCAGCCTTTGTATCAAGCAGGCAAGTCCATCCTTCCACAACAGATCAAGGTTTAAATACATGGAAGTCTCCCTATGAAAAAATTTGTGGAGCCCTTGGAAGCCCAGAAGAAAGCCAAAATATATGGTTATAACTGCAGTATTTAGGAAAAAAAAAAAAAAGATGCTACAGAGTAGGAGACTTCCAGGTTGGGAAGATACATTGGCACAAACTTTCATATCAAAATAGAGATTTAAACACATTCCATATACAACCTTTTGGACCCATCTTTACGCTTTTTAAGCCACCCCAGACCCAAACATATTCCACAGCTATTTACAGTCCTGCCTGAACAATGGCTCTGAGAAGCCATTGCCACTGATATTTATGGACTGCAGGTCTGCAACTTGCATGACGTTAATGCCACTGCTGGCAAGCCGCGCAATGCCTTCAGGTGATATTGCTTCCATGGCAACCATGTTGGTGGTGATGAGGGCCTGTGGAGTGGGAGTGGACGCAGTGCTGCCATCTGAGCCTGTCCCAGTTTCCATTGGCACAGTTGTCATTGCTATGGGGCCAGCTTGACCTTTCTTGTTTGTGTGTGTCTTGATGTGCTTGGATAAGTGATCACTCCTCATAAATCGCTTTGGACACTCTGGACACATAAATTTCTTTTCACCTAGGGCACACAAATATTGGCATTATTAATCACAGCTTCAATAAAACAAGGACACCATATGTGTTCATGAAGGTGCAGCTAAACATCTGGTTTGGAGGTCCATCTTATATTTGATGTCTAATACAGTATATCTACCTGGAGTTCAGCTTTAATAGTACAACAGTTCATGCAAAAAGAAGTACCTAAATGTAACTTGGTGTCAGTATTTTGCAAGATCTTGTACAGAACAGCTCAGACTGGGAGTGGGCAGGGCAGTACAAGAAACCAATCAAATGTACTTCAGTGCTCATATGCCAACAACAGACAAACCAATAGGAAGAATATAGAGTGACAAATATAAGTATCAGTTGACAGAAATAAAAATCCCTAGCAGGTAAAAACTCTCCTATATGCATTACATGTGCATATTTAGCGGTTTGCCTGGAGATCAGCTTATAAGCTTTGTTTTACAAATACAGGGAGCGCCCATGACAGAGGATTAACAGAGCACTGTGGGTTCCTTAAAATAAAGCACTGCAGAAGCTGTTTGATTTGACATTCTTTCTGCCCTTGACTAAACAGATCAGGCAGGGAGGAGGTCATGTGAGCTTTGTAAACAAATGAAAAGGAGGCTGGGTAGATCAAGCAACTTGGAAGAACACTGACCCCATATCTCTCCATAAAGAGGACCTGTTACTGCTCATTTCTATCACAAGGGATGCATGCATTACTTGTGATAGGAATAAAAGTGATACTTTTTGTTTGTTTTTTTTAAAGAGACCGTGTCAAAAAAAAAAAAAATTTTTTTTTAAATAACCCTCTTCCCCCGTGCATAGTGGCGAACACATACGTAGGCCACACTCACATATGTAAACAGTGTTCAGAGCACACGTGAGGTATCGCCACAAACACCTGAGCAACAGCAATAATTTTAGCACTAGACCTCCTCTGTAACGTTACACTGGTAACCTGTAGAAATTTTTAAAGCGTCACCCATGGAGATTTTTTTAAGTACTGCAGTTTGACGCCATTCCACGAGCGTGCGCAATTTTAAAGCATGACTTGTTGGGTATCTATTTACTCGGCGTAACATCATCTTTCATATTGTATAAAAAAATTGGGGTATATATTGTGTTTTTTTTTAATCATTAAAAGTGTATTTTTTTTTTCCAAAAAAATTGCGTTTGAAAAACATATTAATTTTTAAAAACTGTCCATTTCTGTTTCGGTTTCCGGCCAAGTGCATCCTGAATTTTTGGTTTCAGCACTAGAATTTTCATTTTGGGGGCACCACTAGTCTAAATTGTTCTCTTGTTGGTATATGACCCCTGATCTCGTGTCCGTTTGTCACCAATGCATCCCCAATGTGCTTTAGGGGCAGTAGAGAAACAGGTACCTTACTTCATATTTAGTAGACTTGCCCCAAAGTGATCACTTTCTGGTCTCAGGTATACAGCCGGATTAGAACTGTCCTAGCTGTGGTCCTTGGCACTTAATCCATGGGAGGCTCTATTGCATAAACCTACAGCGGCTTTGTACAAAAACTAGCGGAGATAGATGGGCTGTTTTCCTGGTGGCTGATTAAAACACTGGTCAAGGCCCATGCCTTGTCAAAAGTTCCTCCACTTAGCCAAGGTCAAGCGTCGACTCATGGGGGCTATGGTGCACAAGAAGCTCACTTCCTTCCTGAACGACACTCAATGGGAACCGCGGATCACATACAACGCCGATCTGAACCTGGACCCCTTTGCTTTCAACCTGATGATGCTGTTGTAGCTTCCAGCTGTGTCAATGTGGTGGTCTCCTGCGGGACCCTCCTTTTCTATCCCCCCTCTCTCTTTATTACGAACTGTATTTTTGGTCTTGGGTCTTCATGGGTTTTTGGCCCACAAGCTTGTACCACCTCCTCCCTCGAGTTGTGGGTGATACAGATCAATCACAGGGTGCAGACCCCGCAAGTTCCAGCGATCCTCTGTGCAACTGGGCACCCGTATCTTGGCTGTACTGGCCTTTATATGTTATTGCTGTAATGACATTATCTTGTTTTACACTGTCTTTGCTGTCATTGGTCTAACGGTCCATATTAATTTTTTTTTCTCTCATTAATTACCTTTGATGTTATTATATTGCCTTGTATGTAAAAAATACTTTTGTAAAAGAAAAAAGGAGGTGTATGACAATCGCTGTCTGGTTGTGAAATTACAAGCGCATTGGCACCCATCCAAGTATAGGACTTGGATGAACTATGAAATCTTTAAGTATAACTAAAGGCAAAATGTTTTCTTTTGTTTTGAAGTGGAGAGGGATTAGAACAGGTCAGTTTTTATTGCCCTTTGCCCCCCTTAAGGGAGATTCACCCTCTTTATTTGTTCTTTTTACTATCAGCATTGAAAGTAAAAGAAAATATCAAATTTGTGGGTTGTCTTGGAGTACAGTACAGGACACAGGCAACTTATTCATACAGCATGGGTTAAAGGTCTGTACCTTCAGTTGATTGGACACTTGCAAACTTTTGAGGACACTACCCCCTACAGTGGGTATAGAAAATAATCCCCCCCCCTTTAAAATCACTTTTTGTTGCTTTGAAACCTGAAATGAAGCCAGACACAGTTTTTGCTTTAACCAGCTCTATTTACGTAGTGCAACTTATAACATCCAAGCGAAAGATATAACGCTAACGTGTCAGAACAATTTTTTTTTTAAAAATTTAAAAACAGAGTCACTGAGTTGGAAAAGGATCACCCCTTGTGTCAGTATTTTGTAGAACCACTTTTTGCTTTAATCACAGCCTTTAGCCTGTTGGGATAGGTCTCTACTGATTTTGCAATATTTGCCTACTATTCTTTGCAGAACTGCTCAAGTTCAGTTAAATTTGATGGTGACCGTTTGTGGACTGCAGTCTTCAAGTCATTCCACAGATTTTTTAATGGGGTTTAAGTCTGGGCTCTGACTAGGCCATTGAAGGACATTCAATTTTCTCCTAGGACAAGGACTTGTGTTGTAATTTTTGCTGTGTGCTTTGGGTCATGGTCATGCTGGAAGGTAAATCTTCTTCCCTTTGACAGCTTTCTTGCAGAGGGCAGCAGATTTTCCTTATGAATTTGATAGTATTTTGCCCCATCCACTTTTCCTTCTATCCTGACAAGCGCTCCACTCCCTTTTGCAGATAAACACCCCCATAACAGGATACCACCACCTCCATGCTTTCTTGTAGGAATGGTTTTTGAATGGTGAGCTGTATTGGATTTCCAGCAGACATATTTTAGTTTTGAGGCCAAATAATTCAATTTTAGACTCATTTGACAAAAACACATTTTTCCATGTGGCCTCAGAATCTTCAAGGTGTGTTTTTTGGCAAAGCTCAGTCATGACTACATGTGGCCTGGCTTGTGGAGTAGCTTTTTTCTTGCAACTCTCCAATATAAGCCACATTTATGGAGAATTTGTGATATTGTTGTCATATGCACACAATGACCACTCTGTCATAAATTCCTGCAACTGCTTCAGAGTTGCTGTAGGCCTCTTGGTAACCTCTCTAAACAGTTTCATTCTGGCTCTTTCATCCAGTTTGGGGCGATGTCCTGATCCAGGGAGGGTCTGTGTTGCACCAAATACCTTCTACCTCTTAATAGACTTCACTGTGCTGTTAGGCATTGATAAAGCCTTTGATTTTTTTTTTTTTCGTATCCATCTCCTGAGTTGTGCCTGTACACTTTATGCTGGAGATCTTTTAACAGTGCCTTGCCACCCACAGTTGATGGTTTGCTTCAGTAGTAGTAGTAGTAGTGCTACCCAGGACTGAAATGCTCCAGGAAATCTCTTTTCATGCCGAGCTAAATCAAAATGACCACAGCTAATCCCAGTTTAAAGTCAAATGGATTTGTGTGCCAATCAGAAGGTGATTAGCTACACCCAATTGAGTTTACAAGTCATTTTTAGGAGGGGGAGGTGATCCTTTTTCCAACTCAGTGATTCTGTTTTTTAATTTTATTTTTTCCTGACATCTTGGTGCTATATCTTTCACTTGGATGTTATAAATTGCACTGCGTGAATATATCTGGATAAAACAAAAAACAGTGTTTTTCATTTGAGGCTGCAAAGCAACGTAATGGGACTATTTTAAAGGGGTAAGTAGGCGATTCTTTTCTATGCCCACTGTATAACCCCACTCTACTGTGGGAGTCCTCAGTTTTGTTTAGCAAGCAATGCAAAGTAAACAAGGAGAGTTAGGGAGGATGTCCTGTGTCCTGTACTCCAAGATCTGGCATTTACAAGCAAGTCAAAATTCTTCTCATCTTAGTCATACAGCACAAGACACAAAATTCATATACCATGGGACATCCCCAGGCAATAAATACAAGGGGTGAGCAATAACTAGACAAAAACGGAATTGTACTAAGGCCAAAAAACAACAGGGGTCAAGTACCCAAGCTTAGAGAGCCACTGCAAAAATCTTGCAGCCAAAAGCTACATCTGAAAAAGTTTGGACATCTACACCCTTGGTCTAAGTGGTGCTGGCTGAGATAACCCGCCTGCTAGTTGTCCACTCCTGATATGTGGACTGCAGAAATGGCTGGACAGAGTTTCTGTCCATGAGAATCTAGTTTGCTTTCTTGGTTATCCACAGATGCCATGTATTGCCTCTTTTCTTAGAGACAAAAATCTTGCAGCCAAAAGCTACATCTGAAAAAGTTTGGACATCTACTGTACCTGGGAAAATATTCAGAAAGCATGAACAGAAGACCAGGTGGCAGCCTTTCTCAGTTGGTCAACAGAGTCTTGGTGCCTCAAAGCCCAGGAAACTCCTACAGATCTGGTGGAATGGGCACACAACAGCTCAGGAGGAGAGGTTTAAGAACATATACTCGTGCAAACAAGTTCCTGATCCAGCATGAAATGGTGAAATTTGAAGCAGGGTTCCCCTTGCGAGGTCCCAATGAATATCCTCACTCAGATGGAACACTGAAACCTGATAGGTTCAAAGGGCAGAGAAAACTAAATTAAGGTCCCTGGGAAGCACAGAGTGCAGCAAGAGGGGCTAACACAAGACATACCTTGAATATAGGTTTTCACAATGGAGTGCAAAGCCAGAGGCCTATGAAAAAGGATGGATAATGCTGATACCTGCCTCTTTAGGGTGATAACAGATTCTGGTCAAGACCCAATGAAAGGCACATAAAAATTTCTGAGACTGAATTGACTGCACTCACACTAGGCAAAGTAACTGTAACATAGATGTGGGATTCAAGTGATTGGACTGAGATGGGATCTGTAGCAATATGTAATTGTAAATGTAGTTTCATTTCTTCTTATTAAAGATATAATCAGTCATAGGTATTCAGAGACATGAGCTCATCCATTAGCATCTGAAAAGACAGAGCAGCTTCCAGGCTGGAAGTGACACCTAAGTGCCAATAAGATTTGTATGTATGTATGTATGTATGTATGTATGTATGTATATATGTATGTATGTATGTACATATATATATACATATATATAAAAAAATAATCAGACTTTGCCACCTTCCTGAAGTTCAAAAGAGGAACGCAGACGTTTCGGCTTCAGACACCAGGATCAAACAGTCAGAAACAGACTTCATGAGGGTGGGCTGAGGGCCAGATGTCCTCTAGTGGGTCCTGTGCTCACTGCCCGGCACCATAGAGCTCGATTGGCATTTACCATTGAACACTAGAATTGGCAGGTCTGCCACTGGCACCCTGTGCATTTCACAGATGAGAGCAGGTTCATCTGGAGCACATTTGACAGAAAGGTTATGGAGAAGCGATAGAGAATGTTACGCTGCCTGTAAAATTGTTCAGCATGAGCGTTTTGGTGGTGGGTCAGTGATGGTCTGGGGAGGCATACACATGGAGGGATGCACAGACCTCTACAGGCTAGACCAGTGGTGGGCAACCTTTTTTTTCAACTGAGCCAAATCTCGCCAAAACCACGATTGAAATTTATTTTGAGAGCCACATTTTTAAAACTGAAAATACATCCCCCATATAGTAATTCATCCCCCATAGTAATTCATCCCCCATAGTAATTCATCCCCCCTATAGTAATTCATCCCCCCTATAGTAATTCATCCCCCATAGTAATTCATCCCTCATATAGTAATTCATTCCCCATATTGTGTCAATTCACTTACCTTTGCTCCGCGCGTTCCTCTCGCCGTGTTCCCGCGCCGTTCCGGTCTTCAGGGAGGACTGTGAGAGGACAGGAGTTCGTCACGCTGCCCCGCCTACATCCTGACAGCCAATGTTTGCCACGCTCCGCGGGCCGGATTAAAAGGTCCGCCGGGCCGGCGGGCCGTAGTTTGCCCATTGCTGGGCTAGCTGCAGAGTCCTGACTTTTGGGGCGGCCGCCCGAGAGGAGGGAGGGGAGCGGGCGCCCGGCACACAGAAGAGCCGCATTAAACTGTGTAAAGAGCCGCATGTGGCTTGCGAGCCGCGGCTTGCCGACCACTGGGCTAGACAATGGCACCCTGACTGCAATTAGGTATCGGATAAAATCCTTGAACCTATTATCAGAGCCTACACTGGTGCAGTGGGTCCCAGGTTCCTCCTGGTGCACGACAATGCCCGGCCTCATGTGGCAAGAGTATGCAGAAAGTTCCTGGAGGATGAAGGAATTGATACAAATGAATGGCCCCCATGCTTGTCTGACCTAAATCCAATAGAACACCTCTGGGATATCATGTTTCGGTCCATCCAGCACCGCCAGGTTGCACCTCAGACTGTCCAGGAGCTCAGTGATGCCCTGGTCCAGATCTGGGAGGAAATACCCCAGGACACCATCCGTTGTCTCATTAGGAACATGCCCCCCGACATTGTCAGGCATGCATAGAAGCACCTAGGGGGCCATACAAACTACTGAGTACCATTTTGAGTTGCTGCAATAAAATTTCAGCAAAATGGACGAGCCTGCTGCATAATTTTTTTTCATTTTGATTTTCGGGGGTGTCTTTGAATTCAGTCCTCTGTAGGTTTATAATTTTCATTTCAAACAATAGGGCATCCTTACGTTCCTAACACATTACCCAGTCTATATCAGTATAGATATCCAGCATGATATTTTTCCCCATTGAGATCTGAAGTGTTTTCAAAGTGTTCCTTTAATATCTTTGAGCAGTGTATGTACCAGATTCAACCTCCAGTAGTATGTATACTGTATCTCCTCTGTCTGTTATTCTGAGAGTGGATTAGATATTTTGTTCCCCAACCATATAGCTGCTTATATTTACCACTGCATAGAGATATAAAGAACATTTACATATTAACTAAATTATACACCAAACTTTTGAGGTTTTTATCAGATTCATCAAAAAAATAATCGGCCAACTAATAGATTATATTATGTAAATTATAATATGTAAATTGTACACTTTTACTCGTGCTGTCTCATTGTGCCAAGCTGGTCACACCCAATTTTCTCATTATCTGTATTTTATTTACCATTCATCTACAAAGCATTTAAACCGTTGGAAAAAATATATTCTCAATGCAAATATACTAGTTTTCTTTTTAACTGACCTCAAGTACACTATGCCTTAAAGAACAACTCTGGGATACCACATAAACTGCAATAAGTACACTGACCTATGCAAACGAATAAGCTTTTAGTAGCTTATTTATAAGGTTAACCATTTAGGAGAAATTTGGAATTCAATATTTGTGATATCAAAAATTTCAAAAAATTGCAGCTTCTCTGAGCAGAAAGAGGAGGTGGAAATCCAGGGACACATCACATCCTACTTTCTTACTCTACAGCAGGGGTGTCCAAACTATGGTCCTCCAGCTGTTGAAGTACTACAAGTCCCATCATGCCTCTGGTTGTTTTGCTTGTGGATGTCAAGAGTCTTGCAAGGCCTCATGGGACTTGCAGTTCCTCAACACCTGGAGGGCCATAGTATGGACACCCCTGCTCTACAGCTATGAGAAACTACAGTTCCCATCAAGCATAGCTGTAGAGTGAAAAGGAAGTGCATGGATGGGCGTGAATGTGGGCGGGTACATTAGGAGTGTATTTCTTGCACTAAATGAGCTTGAATACTCACCTGCATAGTGTTAATCTTCACTGGGTTGCTGAGAGAGGGGAGGAGACTCCTGGTCTGTCAGTCAGTAAATGAGGTCATGGGAGGCGGGACAGACCAGGAGTCTCCTGTCTGTCTAATGACAAATGCATCAATGGGTGGTTCAGACTGGGAGTATGATACTCCTGGGTCTGACCACTTCAGCGAGCAGGGATGGAATTGCACCCCTGATCACGGTAAAACAGACCAGTGGCTCAGGAAATACAGGGCATAGTGGCCACCGGTCCTAAAAAGCGGATGTCACAGGCAAGGAAGCCTGTGATTTATATAATGCACCTCAATTTTCTTAGAGAAGATGGACTCGGAGAAAAAAATGAAAAAGATCTTTGCTGAAGGTATCAAACCACCAGCACTTACACAGAAAAAAAGTTTTTTCCTAAAGTTCTTATTTAAAGTGTGCCTGCTTCACTCTGACCAACATACTGTGCCACAGCAACCGGAAAACTAGTTAAAGACAGCAAACATCTTCACTTCAAAAGTAAAAACGTGGAGGGAGGAAAAACATGAATGTATATATTCTTGTATCTTCCCACTTACCAGTATGGGTGCGCCTGTGTCTCTGCAATTCATCACTCCGAGTAAAACGTTTACCACAGAACACCCAGGTGCAGGCAAATGGCCTCTCTCCTGTGTGCCAACGCAGGTGAGCCCGCAGATGAGAGGTCTTCCCATATACTTTACCACAGCCCGGGATGTGACAGATATGTTGTTTTTTCTTCCCTGGCTCAGAGGTACCCCTGAAAAAATTATGCAAAGTTTTACTTTGAGAAAGCCTCTGAAAACATATCCAGTTTTCTATGGTAACATGGTGCATTTCTTTCTGCCCAATACATGTTAAACAGGAATAGAATAATATTACTGAATGGAATTGTTCTGGAAATCAGAAGGAGAAATTGCAGGTGCTCTTTTTAAAGTAACCTTGTTACCCTGAATTCTCTCACATAAGGTGGGAACATCGAACAGATAGACGTTTTCCATTTTAAAATCAATTAATAATAGGTCAGCATATGGGCACTTTGCAACTGGATCTTTACAATTTACAATTTGATAGATAAAATAAAATTACATTTTTAGGGCAAACATTCAAAATCTTCTTGCAATACATACCTTCCCTCACTGTCTTTACAATAGGGACATGTGCAGGCCTCCCTGCGCGTTCGCCTAACAGGTTGGGATGGAGTACCTGGGCTGGTCTCACCTGCCTCCAAAGTTGTATTATCAACATGCAGCCCATCAGTACCAGAAGAATGAATACTTAAATGGCCACACGCATCACCTGTGAAGAGGAAAAAAAAACAACAATTGCATAAATTATCTTACTTATACAAATAATTCAAGCTTGAAAAATTAGGTCCAATTTATAAAATACACAAATAGAACCAGGACCTTTAACTTCACTTCAAAATGGACTATGATGATTAGGATGGCAAAGAGTGTGATTATCTCTTAACTGCATGACTACAATTTGGTGATCGGAAAATCTCTACACTACTTTGGAATCAAAAAATTTCCCATAACCAATGTGCAGTTGACAAATGGCATGAGCATCACCTTATCATCCTCATATTAAGTAAAAGACATAAGTCAAAAGTGGTAGGAGGAATACACTTTAAGGTAAACTTTGCATTCAAATTTATTTTGGAGTTACCCTGCTGAGCTTCCTTTGAAAATCCGACGATTGACTAATAGTGAGCAACTTGCCACTGCTGAACATTTGAGTTCCTGACCCAGGATAAGTAGGCAGATCAGGCAGGTCAGAGAAAAAAATCAGATGTTCTTATCTGCATACCTAATCATTAACGTGGTTCAGTGCCTGAACAAAATTGTATTTTTCCTGTCTCAATCCCCAAGGTGTAAATTGAGCTTTAGCTACTGAGATCTTTTACTATAATTATCTAAAACATTTACAGCACACCACTCCATACAATGAACTATACAGTCTGAACTCCTCATTATAAAAACTTTGTTGTATACTTCCCCTACTGTACTCAGTACATACTATGCCACTGTCTGATGTACTCTCCCTGACTCAAAAGACAGTAGCTAAATCATTTCAGGATCTGCCAAGTTTCATCTTACTGGAGGGGGAAACCACACCAGAATGCATTAATGTAGTTCTATTAAAACATAAGTAATTTCTTACTACATTTGAATAAGCGAAAACCTAATCCCAAAAATGTGATACTTTGTTGCAACATCAAACACTACATGCTGGGGCAAAAAGCACCTAATAAAATACATATTTCAGGTGCTGAAAAATGCAGCATAACACTCCATCTGGTATAAAAAAAGCCTTAAAATGAACAAAGACAGACTTCCAAGTCATAAGTGTGTATAACACCAGCGAACAAATTCCAAGTGAAAGGATGGTATTAAGTAGTATCCACTAACTGCAGAATCACATTGGAACATGCATGCTACCCTGTTGTCCCTCGCATTCTGGTTTTGGCAGCCCATTCATTCTGCAGCTTGGTGGTCTCACACACATTGCGGTTAAGGTATCACTAGCAATTAATTGGCACCCGTGCACATCTTGCAATGGCAGCAAATTTACATGCTGTGTGGGAAACACGCATGGAACACGACTTTCCAGCACCTTGTTCTGGTGTGAATGGGCCCTTAACGCAGAAATAAACCCTCCTATCCTTTACAGCAAAAGGAAACTGCCATCTTAGCTTCTGTTTGATCTGCAGCTGTACCACATGATCAGCTATGACACCAGCCATTGATAGCTTGACAGTTTAGTTGGAGTTGGGAGTAAAACACACAAGACACTGTTAGACCCCCTTTCACACAGCGTTCCGTATGTCTGTTTTTATCTGTCCGTTTACGGATGAAAAACCGGACACCCATGTATTTCTATGGCCTAACGAATGATCATTTGTTTACATCCGTCTTTTTGAACAGAAGAAAACCCTATTTTTCTTCCATTTAAAAAAAAACAAAAAAAAAACACAGAACAGATGAAAAACAGACTTTAAATGATAAAAAACTGGTCCGGTTTTTTCTTGGGAAGAAACATGACTGAACTGATGAAAAAAATGGAATGTCTGTGTGAAAGCCATAGACAGTTCGTTTATCGGCCGATTTGCGCACTGTTGGAGCAATGGCGATTTTCGCGGTTCCTCCTTATTTCTTTTATCGATCATGCTGGAAAATTTGTGAAAAACAGACGATTTTCACAATCATTCGTGGCAACAGAACGACCGATGTTTTGTTTTTTTGGACGAAAAATAGGCCGATAAACGAACCATCTGTGGCCTGCATAATAGTTATTCAAGGCATACTTTAAATGTAACTGTTTTGGGAAACCGCTATTTCAGCAGGTTTAGTTCCACATTAATTCACCTGAGATTTCTAACTAAAAAACAAAACCAGATGGAAGACAGCAAAATACCTGGGGCTGAGGAAATCTAACAGAGAATTAATATGTGGAGGTTTCTAACTTTCCATAGAAAATGGAGCCAAACAATATAACCAATTAGTTAGCAGGCTGCTTTAATGAAACCCTGTACTAAGAAAAGTATGAAGGCTGCTAATGATACCCTCCTGAGATTTTGTTTTGCCTTGTCATCTTTTAGCTACATTACATTCCATGCCACTTATCCAGAAACACCAAGCATGCAGATGAGATAGCCAAAGTGAAGTCAAGTGCTGATCTGCATACCTGTACTGGGTAGTGACTATTGTAATTAAAGCGTATGTAAATACAAAGCCAATAAAAACCAATACAAATACCTGGCACCATCCCTAAAGATTCTGTCCCATTTTCAATCACACAGAGCCTCTGCACATACCTATTATGCATTTTATCTGTGTTCACGCGACTGCCCAGTCCCCATCTACCCATAGCTCAGAGGGCTTCTGCCAACACCAAAAGGTCCAAGCAGCCATTCTGTTCTGTGAGACCTAAAAAACCATTCTCAGCCTGAAGGGCAATACAGGGATAACTTGCATCCCTTGAAGCTCCCTGCCTAGATTGATTTTTTTTTTTCTTCTTTCTACAGTTCACAATCACTCAACCAACAACCTTCTGTTTCATTCTGCTGTTGTATATATACTGTAATGGTTAGATAGAGAGCCTCCAATTGGGAGACACTGCCAATCACAGAGCTGGGTTACAGGTGGGCAGGTTATGACACAGGTTGACAAGAGAACTACAGGCTTATTGTACTTTTGCACAGCATACTGCCATTCCCTTTGTAAATGTACCTGTGCATATCTCTCAATGCTACCATGGGTCTGAAGCCAAGCATTGACAGAATGCAGGAAGAAGGGGTATATTTTTGCAACGTGCAAAAAGAAAAGAAGAAAAAAGGCTGCAAAAGTAATCCTAAACTTTGATTCCAAAAGTAATGTAACTATTTAATTTTTTGCATTTATTAGTACACTTTAGTTCTTTGTAGAAGCACAACACCCACTAAACTAGCATGTTCAGAACAGATGTTCAGCAATGAATACTGTAGCCTCTCCTGTCAGATTCAGTTAGTAGATTCTGAGCAGCCCAAACCCACAAAACATACAGTGTGCAAACACGACTTTGCTTTAAGTGCAAATTTAGGCACAATGCACAGTAAAATTGGGTCATCTCTAACAGAGCATTAACACTCCGACAGTGCACGTTGAAAAAACAGGGTGCTGCAGGAATACCCAGAGATTTGACTTGCAGCAAGGTCAAAATGTTTTATACTGTATTCTTAGGTTCAGATACCCCAAATGGACTGTGACAAGCAAATAGGTACTGGCACACTACAACCAATGCTGTGATACTGTATACTTAGCTTATCTGTGCCTAAAGTACAACGCAATGTATACAAAATTGTATAAAAGCAGTGATCCTGTGTCCAGTACTTTGAAATAAACATTTTAAAGGCTAGCTGGTTGAGTGTCATGTCACAGAGCTGTCTATAAACATTTTTTACAACATAATCAGGTGCAAAAAGGGAGTGGCATTGTGAGCAATACATTGAAATGAACATATTTAAAAGCTTAGTGAGTGAGCTGCATCATGTTTTAAGCTGGTCAGAATGGTCGCACATGCAAAGCACAATCAAAATCTGACCTTTCAATGAGGACATCTAGCCTGCTTTGAACCCTAAAAGTCAAAGGGGGCATGGCTGACATGCTTTAGACTGAGGGTGCAAGTCTAAAAACAGACAACTGGATTAAGCAAGGTTTATTTTTCCTTGGATTTCTTATATGTTTGTTTCCCGACTGAAAGTGGCTGCATCACACACACTGGCATCTCATGTATATGGTCACTTTCAGAGCTGTCGAATAAAGATCTTAACAGAAAAGTTCTAAGTGCTATGTGAACTTTAATGTGCTAAAGCTCTGAATGACCAGTTTTAGGTATGTCACATCTGTGTCACTTCCCCATATATTTGCAAACATATTTTAGACTTATATGCAGGTTTTAAACTTGGCCTTTTCTGCTAGCCAGCAAAATGGAGCTTTGATTGAAAGAAAATTTGTGCTCACACATGACAACACAGGTTTGCATTAATCTCCCCTGACCCTGCAGCAGCACATACTTTTCTTTCATTTGCTCCCCTCACTAGAGAACCAAGGAAAGTTGAGCATAAGCTGCTGTGGAAAGGGGCAAAACACCCCCCCCAAAAAAACATTAATAAATGGCATTTAGAATAAAACCTACAAAACAAATACATATAATTTAACCATGTTCACCACTAGACTTACCTGTTGCATTAGTTATTGTCAGAGGGAATCCCTGAAGCTGGTGCACCTGTATACCAGAGGTTCCTAAGGCACCTAGGTTAATGGTCTGGAGACCGGGCATGGACGAAAGCTGAGCAGCGTTGACTGTTACTGTGCCAGCTGGCATAGAGGTGGCAGTACTTGTTGGCTGCCCGAGAGATACCCCCTGCATAGGGGCAAGGGTGATTGTCTGAGCCTGAGGATTCTGAACCTGCAGATTCTGCAACTGGATTGTTTGCCATGTGACCTGCCCATTAGGTCCTACAGTGGGTGTACGGATAATGATTGGGCCAGTGTTTGGCACAGTTTGAATTTGGAGATTCTGTAAGGCATCTTGGGAGATGGCTTGCGTACTGAACGTTTGGCCGGAAAGCTGAGCAGCTTGTATTGTTTGGATAGCCTGGCCTCCCTGAACAATTTGAGGCTGAATGAGAATCTGTTGTTGCTGCTGGGATTGGTCACCCTCCTTTTGCTGGCCCTGCTGAAGGTTGCCACCAGCCTGTTGCACAGCATCAGTGACCAAATTGATCTGACCAGATCTCTGAGAAGTCTGAAGTTGGACATTGGTCCCAGATGTGGTAGTTCCACTGCTGCAATTTAACAGATTGACACCGCTAGCAGTGGTGCTGGTGGAAAGATTATTGGCATTTGTAAAAAAGGTTGCTGTGTTGGCTTGAGAGGTGACCAACTGTGAGGAACTGATAGCAACTCCTGAAGTAACAGGCTGAGAGTTATCCTGAGAACCACTGTTCAGAGTCACTGACTGAGAAGTGGGTGTTAAAGAAGCTGCATTCACAGGCAGAAGTGTGATGTTGCCATTAAGAGCAACAGGGACATTGGTCAAGTACTGGGTCTGTCCAGACAGGACATTGTTGGCTAGGCCCATTCCTTGAATTGGGACAGCTTGCTGAAGAAGATTGGGCATGGCAAGTATGTTTCCTGCACCAGCTCGATTAGTGGTAATAATCTGTTGGTTAGTAGCTGGAATAATCTGCAGCTGTCCAGAGGCATCTTGCTGGACGTTCACCTGAGCAGGGGCAGTAGTAAATTGCAATTGCTGCCCATCCATGGTTTGAAATTGTGGTATAACTTGGTACTGAATATTAGACATTGCCCCCTGAAGACTTGCCAAAACCTGTTGGTTTTGCATATTTGGGGCTGCTGCTACTACAAACTGCCCAGGGGCTAGCTGACGATTTTTTGACGAAGCATCGCCTCCAGCTTGGTCCTTGGTTGTAGGGGAAGCAGTAGATATGATTTGCCAGCCATTCGCTGTCTGTGCAATTTGAGCAGTACTCAGATCCAGTTCTGTAGCACCTTGTTGCTGACCTCCACCATTTCCATTTTCGGGGGGCTCAATCCTACTACACGTGGCAGCCAATAAGGCCAAAGGAGAAGGCTGGGAATCCTATTAGAGAAAAATGAATCAGTTTAGTGCAATGCACCCCAATATTCAAACAAAAAACAACAGCAAAAGTAACTGTACATTTTAAAGTATACCTAAAGGCAAAACTAGTTTTTTTAGTCCTGGATAGAGTGGAGAGGGCTAAAAACTAGTTAGGGAGATTCACACTCTCTATTGGTCATGTTTACCATTATCATTGAAAATGATGAAAAAAATCCCCAAGATTTGGGATGACACCAGAGCAGATATACATGGGAAATATTTTAATGGGTACACTAGTTCTGGGGACACCCCAGGACCCAGGCAACTAATTCATGTAAATAAATTACACATGCTTCCTAACATTTTTGGGTAACTTCTATTTTAATAGAAGCTCAGGTTCCCAAGCTTATTAAGGAGTACCTGGTAGCTAGATTACGGGGGTGCCTACGCATGAAAACTACTATTGAGATCCACATGTTACATGTCGCCGCGAAGGCCAGAATGAGAGCAATAATTCTAGCACCAGACCTCCTCCATAACACTAAACTGCTGACCTATAAGGGGCTTTAAAAGCGTCACCTATAGAAAATATAGGATTACTAAAGTTTGCAGCTATTTCACGAGCGCACGCAAATTTAAGGTTTGACATGTTGGATATCTATTTACTTGATGCAACCTCATCTTTTATATTTTACAAAAAAAAAAAAATGGATAGTTTATTGCTTTTTTTGTGCCCTAAAATTAATTTAAGTGTATTTTTTACTGAAGTTGTGTATTTCCTAGATCTTTGTGATAATATCATGTGACATACAAAATTGGAACTACCGCTATTTTATTCTCGAAGGTCTCTGCTTTCAGAAAATATATAATGTTTTGGAGTTTTCTGTAATCTTCAGGCCTTAAATGATTTTTTTTAAATGTGTGCAAAAACGGCTCAGGCAGTGAAAGGGATAAAGGATAAGCCGGACACCCCCGTTTCCTGATGAGAATCCAATCGGTGCTCATTACACTGCAAGGTCGCTGTCCTTCCTGCTAGTCCCTGGGGGCAGGGCTGGAGACAGGCAGGGAGGGAAGGAGGAGATAAACAGCGCAACATTTAAGTCGCCATAAAGCCCTTTTTGTTTTTAAAAGCCCCAGACATTACTTAAACCCTTCACGCAGACGGCACACAAATGTGCAGCCTCATGGAACTGGGCTTTTTTTCCGTGGGGACGCACATTTGCGTACCTGTCTTTGTGCTGGGAATGCGCCGCACGGCACGGTCCCAGCACAGAGACCACGGTGTCACTGAGAGCCCTGGGTCCTGTTCTTAAGATCGGGACCCGGGACTCCCGATTCCGGGTCACATGATCGCTGTGATAGCCTCTGATTGGCCATCATAGTGATCAGTCACTGTGCAGCCCGGCCCCCTTGTTTTTTCTCTCTCTATGAATGGAGAAGAGAGATACATTGTATCTCTATAACTCCTGACAGAGAGATAAAAAAATGCTTGTAAAAAAAAAAAAAAAAAAAAAAAAAAAAAAGGAGGAAGATAAATAAAAAATTAAAAAAAATAAAAGAAAAATACCTAGATCAAGGTTTGATCTAGTTCAGTGCCATGGTTAGTGTTTGGGTCAAAGGTCAGGATTTAAAAAAAAAAAAAAATTGGTATCAGTTAGCGTTAATGTCAGTGTGTTTTAGGAAAAAAAAAAAAAAGAAAAAATGCGTACTATTGTTTCTGGGCTGTACTACGGGTACGAACAACAAATAACATACACATACAGTTGCAAGAAAAAGTATGTGAACCCCTTGGGATTACGTGGAGTTTTGCATGAATTGGGCATAAAATGTGCTCTGAACGTCATCTAAGTCACAACAATAGAAGAACACAGTCTGCTGAACATAATACTACACAAACATTAGATGTTGCCATGGTTTAAATTACACATAACATGTAAACATTCACAGTGCAGGGAGGAAAAAGTATGTGAACCTTTGGACTTAATAACTGGTTGACCCTCCTTTGGCAGTAATAACCTCAACCAAACGTTTCCTGTAGTTGCAGATCAGACCTGCACAACGATCTGGAGTAAGTTTGGACCACTCCTCTTCACAAAACTGTTTCAGTGTAGCAATATTCTTGGGATGTCTGGTGTGAATCGCTCTCTTAAGGTCATGCCACAGCATTTCAATTGGGTTGAGGTCAGGACTCTGACTGGGCCACTCCAGAAGGCATATTCTGTGCTGTTGCAGCCATTGTTTTGTTGAATTACTTGTATGCTTTGGGTCATTGTCCTGTTGCATCACCCATCCTCTGCGGAGCTTCAGTTGGCGGACAGATGGTCGTACGTTTTCCTGCAAAATGTCTTGATAAACTCTGGAATTCATTTTCCCATCAATGACAACAATCCGTCCAGGCCCTGAGGCAGCAAAGCAGCCCCAAACCATGATGCTCCCTCCGCCATGTTTTACAGTGGGGATGAGGTTTTGATGTTGGTGTGCTGTGCCTTTTTTTCTCCACACATAATGTTGTGTGTTCTTCCCAAACAACTCAATCTTGGTGTCATTCTGTCCACAGTATATTTTGCCAGTAGTGCTGTGGAACATCCAGGTGCTCTTTTGCAAACTTCAAACGTGCTGCAATATTCTTTTTGGACAGCAATGGCTTCCTCCGTGGTGTCCTCCCATGTACTCCATTCTTGTTTAATGTTTTCCTTATTGTAGATGTGTCAACAAAAATGTTAGCATGTGCCAGAGATTTCTGTAGGTCTTTAGCTGACACTCTGGGATTCTTCTTTACCTCATGCAGCATTCTGCGCTGTGCTCTTGCAGTCATTTTTACAGGACGACCACGCCTAGGGAGAGTAGCAACAGTGCTAAACTTTCTCCATTTGTAGACAGTCTGTCTTACCGTGGACACATGAACATCAAGGCTTTTGAAGATACTTTTGTAACCCTTTCCAGCTTTATGCAAGTCAACAATTCTTGATCGTAGGTCTTCTGAGAGCTCTTTTCTGCGAGGCATGGTTCATATCAGACAGTGCTTCTTGAAACCAGTAAACCCAAAACAGGTGTGTGTTTTTTAAGGGCAGGACAGCTGTCAGCAACACATCCAATATCATCACACTGATTGGAGTCAAGGTTGGCTCACTCCTGGCTCCAATTAGCTCTGGGAGCAGTCATTATTAAGCTAGGGCCTCACATACTTTTTCCTCCCTGCACTGTGAATGTTTACATGTTATTTGCAATTAAACCATGGCAACATCTAATGTTTGTGTAGTATTATGTTCAGCAGACTGTGTTCTTCTATTGTTGTGACTTAGATGACGTTCAGAGCACATTTTATGCCCAATTCATGCAAAACTCCACGTAATCCCAAGGGGTTCACATACTTTTTCTTGCAACTGTATATGGTATCACTGCGATTGTCAAGAGCTGGAGAATTTATTTTGGGTTGTTCTATGGAGGTAGGTAATGGTCGTAACAAGAAACACACAGCTAAATAAAAAAAATAATATATTTTTTTTTTTACTATTTTGGCCCAGTTTTCCTTCGATAATAATAAAAAAAAAAAAATTAGGAGCTATCCATTACCATTTACCACCAAATGAAAGCCCAATTTGTCCTGAAAAAAAAAAACAAGGTATAATCCACCTGGATGTACAAAGTAGTTCTGATGATATGTACGGTTTTACTAACACATGTCACCATTGCAGAATTGTGCTTAGGCATTTAGATTTGTTTTACCCTTAGGCGTGAAGGGGTTAATGCAGTTTTAAATATGGTTTTGATTAAAAATCTATTTTTTTTTTTATCAGGACAAGTAGATTGTCACGAGGGACAAGTAGATTGGGACACCGATTTAGTCCCTGGACAAGTAGTTTTTACAAAAATTTCCACATGCCTGTTTAGTATAATGGCTCAAAATAATTACTAAAATTTACATAAGGTGGCATCTTAGCTACTGAAAAATTAGATGCCTGCCAACTTATGTAGAAGAACTAATGTTTAAGTAGACACATATGGAAACAAGCAAATCAAGAGTTTCCTTTTGGGACAACATTTTATGCTCCTCTTCACCATATTGCTACATTCACACCTGAGCAATGCATTTATCACAACCGACCGCTGACTAGAAAGGACTGTCTGTCACGCGCCAAGGAACCTCGTGTACTAATATCTGGCACTAAGCCAAGCGCATTTTGTTGCGCGACTACTACAAAGTCACTCAGGAGTGCATTCAGCATCAAGGAAAAAAAAGGGTGATATTAACATGATAGGTAAAAAAAAAAAAAAAAAAGTTCATTTTGTGGTGTTGCCTTACAAAACTAAATTTATCAAGAAATATATGATTGGGTTTAAAAAGGAGGTTGGCATGTCCTGTACAAAAGTAGAAAATTATTGTGCTCCATAGACATCTACAAAAGCGGAGTGAACCCCTTCAGACACCATATATAAATCGGCGGCTGGAAAAAGTGTTATTGGCATTTTTGCCAGTAGGAAAAAAAGTTCCGATAATCATGCAATTGTGCCCGCAATTTTGCCATGGTTTTCAAAGATCATAATCAAAAAAAGTATCAAAAATGCAACACGTGTTTTTTATGCAGTTTCAATGCATTTCAGGCCTGAATCACACCAATGCAGCTTGCGTTTTGTCCATTTTTCAGTGTGATTTTAAGTTGTTTGATGCATGTTGCGTTTTTTTTTTGGGCAACTTGTTGCTGAGCAGATTAAAAACACATCAAAAATGCGTCAAGACCGTACTACATGCGTTTTCTGCAGCATCTCCATTGAAGTCTATTGAACCAAAAACACAACGTTTTGCCCCTTAAAAAAGTCCCTGACCCTTTCCACAAAAGCAGCAAAAAGCATAAATATGAACGTGTCCCATAGGAAACCATGTTAGACTGTAGTGCGTTTCTGCAAAAAGCAATAAAAATGCATAGGTGTAAACCAGGCCTCAATGGGAAGGTGCGTTTTTTTTTTTTAACTGACCTAATAAGCACCATAAATGCGACAAGCAGGATTTTTTAACACCACAA